CCCGACCCTTCCCGAACCCCGCCCCCCCTGCCTTTTCGGAAGGCCGCCCCGTTCGCCCTGCCCCCGGACCCAAAGCCGCCCCAACCGTGTCCACGCGCCCAACGTTCCCGCTGCCTTTCCGGGGCAGTCATCCCCAAGTGCGCGCGGCCCAGGGCGGTTGAGATTTCGGGAGCGAGGAGGAGGCTCAGACCCCTGAAGGTTAATGTCGATCTGGTCGGTCCGAATCAATGACGACTTCGGTCGGTTTGGTCCGATCAGGCTTCGTCGCTGCAGCGACCCAGTGCGGTTTCATGCTTGCACAGCACAGTTGTGTACCCGGGCGCAGCCCACCCGATCTTTTTTCCCGACCATCTTGTGGTGTTGGGTCCTCGTTTTGAAAAGACGGTCCCCGCGTTCTTCCTCCACTTCTCCTCTTCCCCCTCCTCCCTCCTCCCCCTCCTCCGTGCGTTTCACCCACCCAATACAGCGCTTCGTGGCCCCATAGGGAACTCCACCGAAGGCCCCAGTGCTGCCGCCCGCATGCGTCAGCCACACCCAGTTCGGCACACCCCTCACACGTTTCGTGGCCCCATAGGGAGCTCCAGCGAAGGCCCCAGCGCTGCCGCCCGCATGCGTCAGCCACACTCAATTCGGCACACCACTCACACGTTTCGTGGCCCCATGGGGAGCTCCACCGAAGGCCCCAGTGCTGCCGCCCACAAACGTCAGCCACACCCAATTCTGCACACCCCTCACACGTTTGGTGGCCCCATAGGAAGCTCCACCGAAGGCCCCAGTGCTGCCGCCCGCATGCGCCAGCCACACCCAATTCGGCACACCCCTCACACGTTTCGTGGCCCCATAGGGAACGCCAGCGAAGGCCCCAGCGCTGCAGCCCGCATGCGTCAGCCACACCCAATTCGGCACACCCCTCACACGTTTCGTGGCCCCATAGGGAACTCCACCGAAGGCCCCAGTGCTGCCGCCCGCATGCGTCAGCCACACCAAGTTCGGCACACCCCTCACACGCTTCGTGGCCCCATACGGAGCTCCACCGAAGGCCCAGTGCCGCCGCCCGCATGCGTCAGCCAAACCCAATTCGACACACCCCTCACACGTTTCGTGCCCCCATAGGGAGCACCGGAGGCCCCTGCGCCGCCGCCCGCATGCGTCAGCCACACCCAATTCGGCACACCCCTCACACGTTTCGTGGCCCCCCCATAGGGAGCTCCATCAGCACACCCAATTCGGCACACCCCTCACACGTTTCGTGGCCCCATAGGGAGCTCCACCGAAGGCCCCAGTGCTGCCGCCCGCATGCGTCAGCCACACCCAATTCGGCACACCCCTCACACGTTTCGTGGCCCCATAGGGAGCTCCACCGAAGGCCCCAGTGCTGCCGCCCACATGCGTCAGCCACACCCAATTCTGCACACCCCTCACACGTTTGGTGGCCCCATAGGGAGCTCCACCGAAGGCCCCAGTGCTGCCGCCCGCATGCGCCAGCCACACCCAATTCGGCACACCCCTCACACGTTTCGTGGCCCCATAGGGAGCGCCAGCGAAGGCCCCAGCGCTGCCGCCCGCATGCGTCAGCCACACCCAATTCGGCACACCCCTCACACGTTTCGTGGCCCCATAGGGAGCTCGTGGCCCGCATAGGGACCACCGAAGGCCCCAGTGCCGCCGCCCGCATGCGTCAGCCACACCCATTCGGCACACCCCTCACACGCTTCGTGGCCCCATAGGGAGCTCCACCGAAGGCCCCAGTGCCGCCGCCCGCATGCGTCAGCCACACCCAATTCGGCACACCCCTCACACGTTTCGTGGCCCCATAGGGAGCTCCACCGAAGGCCCCAGTGCTGCCGCCCGCATGCGTCAGCCACACCCAATTCGGCACACCCCTCACACGTTTCGTGGCCCCATAGGGAGCTCCACCGAAGGCCCCAGTGCTGCCGCCCGCATGCGTCAGCCACACCCAATTCTGCACACCCCTCACGCGTTTCGTGGCCCCATAGGGAGCTCCACCGAAGGCCTTAGTGCTGCCGCCCGCATGCGTCAGCCACACCCAGTTCGGCACACCCCTCACACGTTTCGTGGCCCCATAGGGAACTCCAGCGAAGGCCGCAGTGCCGCCGCCCGCATGCGTCAGCCTCGTCCAATTCGGCACCCCCCTCACACGCTACGTGGCCCCAACCCGCATGCGTCAGCCACACCCATTTCGGCACCCCCTTCGCACGCTTCGTGGCCCCATAGGGAGCTCCACCGAAGGCCCCAGTGCCACCGCTCGCATTCGTCCCGCACACCCATTTCGGCACCTCTACCAACCACAGCGTTTCGTGGCAGGCCCCAGTGGTGCCGCCCGCATGCGTCACCCCCACCCCAGCACAGCATTTCGTGGCCCCACAGCGAGCTCCACCGAAGGCCCCAGTGGTGCCGCCCGCATGCGCCACCCCCACGCACAGCGTTTCGTGGCCCCACAGGGAGCTCCACCGACGGCCCCAGTGGTGCCGCCCGCATGCGTCACCCCCGCCCAGTACAGCGTTTCGTGGCCCCACAGGGACCTCCACCGAAGGCCCCAGTGGTGCCGCCCGCATGCGTCACCCCCACCCAGCACAGCGTTTCGTGGCCCCACAGGGAGCTCCACCGAAAGCGGCACCCGCAATGCGATATTCACAACTGCACATGGTTGGGTCCTTCGCCAGGCTAATGTATTGTTTTTCCCAACCATATTGTGGTGTTGGGTCTTCGTTTTGAAGAAACGATCCCCGCGTCTCGTCCTCCCGTGCCCCCCCCCCCACGGGGGTACCACAGGCGTCCGCCTGACCCAGTACAGTCTTTCGTGGCCCCAATGGGGGTGGCCACATGCGTCCGCCACACCCAGTACAGCGCTTCGTGGCCCCATAAAGGGCCACCGAAGGCCCCAGTGGGGCGTACCACATGCGTCCGCCACACCCAGTACAGCGCTTCGTGGCCCGTTAAGGAACCACCTGAGGCCCCAATGGGGGGGTGGCCACATGCGTCCGCCACACCCAATACAGCGCTTCGTGGCCCCAGAGGGAGCTCCACCTAAGGGCCCGGCGGGGGGGGGGCACATGCGTCCGCCACACCCAGTACAGCGCTTCGTGGCCCCATGGGAAGCTCCACGTAAGATCCCAGTGGGGGGGGGCCACATGCGTCCGCCACACCCAGTACAGCGCTTCGTGCCTCAATAGGGAGCTCCACCGAAACCTCCATTGGGACCGTCCGCGCGCGCCACACACAGTCCATTTGACAATTTCACCCACCCAACACAGCGCTTCCTGGCCGTATAGGAAGCTCTACCGAAGCCCCCGGTGGGACCGTCCGCATGCGTCCCGCACACCCACTTTGGCATTTTCGCCGACCCAGTACAACGCTTCGTGGCCCCATTAGGAGTTCCACCGAAGCCCTTGGTGGGACCGTCCACATGCGCCCCGGAAACCCAATTTGGCACTATCACGTGCCCAATGCAGAGCTTCGTGGCCCCATAGGGAGCTCCACCGAAGCCTCCATTGGGACCGTCCGCGCGCGCCCCACACAGTCAATTTGACAATTTCACCCACCCAATACAGCGCTTCCTGGCCGTATAGGAAGCTATACCGAAGCCCCCAGTGGGACCGTCCGCATGCGTCCCGCACACCCACTTTGGCATTTTCACCGACCCAATACAACGTTTCGTGGCCCCATTAGGAGCTCCACCGAAGCCCCTGGTGGGACCGTCCACATGCGTCCCGGAAACCCAATTTGGCGCTATCACGTGCCCAGTGCAGCGCTTCGTGGCCCCATACGGAGCTCCACCGAAGCCTCCATTGGGACCGTCCGCGCGCGCCCCACACAGTCAATTTGACAATTTCACCCACCCAATACAGCGCTTCCTGGCCCTATAGGAAGCTATACCGAAGCCCCCAGTGCACACTTCGACCCGACCGCCGGTGCCCGATCTGATGGTGGCAGCGCGTGCCTCCATTTTTTGTACTCGGGTCGGGCAGAACGGGGCGGGAAATGGAAAACTGGGTCACCCGCGGGGGCGCGCAGGGAATGGCGTTTCGCGCGAGGCGGGCCGGTCAAGAGCGGTTGTTGGTCTCCAAGGCGCGAGTGCACGAAGTCAGGTGATTTACAGAGAGGGGGAGGATAAGGAATGGGGGGGGCCTTGGCTCTGCTGCACAGAGTTGGTTTCGGCCCCGCTGCCGCGCGATTTCCTCGATACACAGGCGCCTCCAGCGCGCGGAAGCGGCGGGTAACCCATTTGCGTGAGCTGGTGAACTCACCTATCCCCTCCTCTCTCGTCTGGCCCGCGGCGAGGAGGAGGAAGCGGAGGAGGAGGTGGACAGAAAGGAGGGTGACTGAGGCTTGTGGTCGTGCCCAGCTACTCTGTATGTCGGCGCCTGTGGGGGCCCCCGAGCTCCTCTGGGGGCCTCCCCTCTGCTGGCCTCCCCCCCCCGTCCGGCCTGGTGTGCGCCGCCGACAGGAGTCGGGGCTCAAGAGACGGGGGTCAATGCAAACGGGGGTCGGCCAGAGCGCCGGATCCTGCAGGATCCTGCAAGGCCAGAGTTGCGCTGACTCGGGCTTTGGCGCAAGATCCTGCAGGACCTTGCGGGATCCTTCGCACCGGCCCGGGGTTGGGTGCAGGATCCTGCAGGAGTCTGCAAGGCCTGGCTGATCCGGGTTTGGATGGACCCGGGCCAGAAGACCCCCGATTCAAGGGGATAAAAAACGCCCCTACCCTGGTGTACGAGGCGCTGTGCGCTGTGGGCCGACGGGGCCAACCCTGCGTGATGGGCCGCGTCCTGGCGGCTCCAGGCTCTGGGAGTGGCGTGCGGCAGGCGTCGCAGCACGTGCGACGGGAGCCGGATACACCGATCGGCGGTCATCGCGGCAACGGGCTGGAGGAGGAGGGTGAGGAGGAGGGTGAGGAGGAGGAAGAGGAGGAGGAGGAGGAGGAGGAGGAGGAGGCGCACTTGTAACCCAGGACAGGGCCGTTTTTCATCCCTCCACCGAAGGAGGCAGCAGGAGAACCTGAGGCTGGAGCGCGAGATCCTCCTCGAGAACGATCCTCGGCGGCCGGCGCCAGCGGGGGCCCCGCCCGGGCTCTCCCCCTGGGAGGCGCGGCTCGAGGAGGGCGAGGAGCAGGCGCGCTCGACTGAAGTGGGGCCCACCGCCGATACAGGAGGAATGCTCAGAAATAAATAAAATTTAGTCAGGGGACGATTTTTACAAATTATTTTCGGGGAGCAAAGAAGTGGCATAAACATAAAGACTCGGAGGTCCGCGCGGATTTCTCGGATCGGCGCTGGACCCCCCTCCCTGGCGCGCGGAGCGCGCCAGGGGCGGCGCCAGAGGCGCCGCCGGGGGGCCCCATCGCCGATCCGAGAAATCCGCGCGACCTTCGCGTTTTTATGGTTATGTCACTTTGTGTTCCCTTATATTTGTTTCCAATTGTGGGGATTGGTTTCACTATGTTTGATTCTTCGCCCAGAAATCCCCCTGTGGGGGACAGGCCCGACCTAACGCTTCACCCCCCTCCCTGGCGCGCGGAGCGCGCCAAGGGTTGCGATGAAGGCGCCGGACACAGACGACACAGGCGGCACAGCCGGACATAGCGGCGATGATGCGCTGTGTGCGTCCTGGTCGGAACAGGCAAGGTTGGGTGACCATTGAGCGAGTGGCGGGCATTTTGGTGGCCCTGTCCCTGAACCTTCGGGTGAGGAGCAGGGGGCCAGAGGTCCACCACGTATAAGTCGGGCACGTCCCTCTACAGGAGGAATCTCCAACAATAATCAAAGTATAGTCTTGGGAGGTTAATTCAATAGATAAATACATGCATAAATACATACATACATTAAAGGCATATATTAATACACAACGTGTATTTATATATAGATTAAGCGTTTTTGGCGTTTCTCCATTATTCCTCCAAGATCCGCCTGTAGGAGGACGTGCCCGACCTGAGGCTTGGAACGACGCTCTTTCCAGCCGCCAGGAGTCGGGATCCGGTGGGGGGCTCGTGCCCTGTCGTTCGTTCGGCGCGAGGGCGGCACGGGCTCGGGCATGGGAGGGCGGGAGGGCCGTCGTGCCCAGGTATACGAGCGGCTGGAGGGCGGCTCCTCCTTCCCCCCTCCTCCTCCTCCTCCTCCTCCTCCTCCTCCTCCTCCTCCCTCCTCCTCCTCCTCCTCCCTCGGGCGGGGGGGGGGGAATAGGAGAGGGGGGGGGGTATCAGCAGAAGGAGAGGGGCGGGGGGGAGATCGAGACAGAGAGCGGGGAGGGGGCGGGGGGAGGCAGAGATCAGGAGGGAGCAGGGGGAAAGGGGCGGAGTGGGGGAGGATGAGAGCGACAGAGCGGAGAAAGAGAGAGAGGGAGAGCGGGGGCGGGGCATAGAAATGCCCATCTCATCGCATAATCAGGCACCCATCTGGTGCGGCAAGGTCGCGCCGCGTGGATGCGGCAATGACGCTGGCACGAGCGCTCCAGGTTGAAGGTGACTGGAGGCCTGCATCAGACCAACCCAGAGAGATGTTCGTTGTCGGATCGCGGGCATCGCTCCGAAAAGTGTCGGAAACCAGATGCGTTGGAAAGTGTCGAAAGTTTGAACTGTTCAGGCGCGTCGGAAAAAGTGTCAGCAACCAGCATCCGCATCGACACGGCAGGAGCGAGCCGCACCTGGGTAAGCGGACCATCCTTTCATTGTCAAGGTCGTCAAGACGTTCAAGGAGTTGGCTCGGGCGTTCGTTCGCGCGCGCGCTGCTTGCTCAGGCGTGTTTTTGGCGGTGGCCTCCGCCAGCGACAGAGGCCCCGCGCCCGCGTCCATCCCAGGGCGTGTCTCGGGCACGGGGAGGAGAAGGTCTGGGGCGGAAAAGAAGGGGGGCGATGCCAAGGGGGGGGTGGATATCATGGCGTGGGCTTGAATATTTCCACAGATTTCATGGCGCCTCTTCTTATTTCAGTACGTCCCTGGCCCCCCCGCTGGGCCGCGCACATGCCGCCGGCCATGATGTGCACCCCCCCCTCTTGGACACCCCCCTCTTGGCCGCTCCCGAGAGAAGGATCTGGGGGCGGCCAAAACGGCGGTGACGACGACAGTCGGACCGATGAATTGGTTGGAGGTCGGTTCGGGGAGGGTACCCTTTAGTTCTTCATGCTCGTTGGATGTTCTTGTGCACCTTGGGCAGGGTGCCCTCGGATGTTCTGCGCGCTCTGGCCGGCGGAGGGTACCGTGTTCTTGAGGGATGTTCTTCTGGGCTAGGTCCGACTGTAGGGGGTGTGGATCCCATGGCAGGGGCCATGATATCTCCCCAGATTTCACGGCGCCTCTCATTTCAATACGCCCCTGCCCCCCCCTTGGACCGCGCACATGCCGCTGGCCATGATTGCGTCTCCTCCTCTTTGAATCTTGGCCGCCCCCTAAAGGATGGGAGAATGTGATCTGGTGGCCCTTGGGCCATGCCGCCACCGTTCCTGGGCTGTGGGGCAAAATCCGTGGTGGGATGCTCTCGAGAGCTCGAATGCACCAGAAGACGCTCCGCTGAGATGCCTGCGGCACGGCGGCGGAAAGTCTTGCTGCCTGACTGGTGAGGTAAGGGTCTGTCCAGCGAACCGTTTGTTGGCTCAAGACCCTATCGAATACGCTTGCTGCGAACCACCGCCGCTGCCTGCGTTTGGAAACACATTATGAGGCCAAACGTTGGGCTTAAGTACCGCCAAACTATTGGACTATGTGTGCCCCCAGCCATTGTAGAACCCCCTTGCGGAGACGTTTTGGGGGAGGAGAAGCGATGATGAGGAGGAGGATGAGGAGGAGGAGGAGGAGGAGGAGGAGGAGGAGGAGAGCGAGGAGGAGGAGGAACTGGATGCAGCTCTTGGGGCCTCCCCCCGGGGGGTCTTGGGGCATTCGAGGGCTTGTAAGTGGCCTCCAACGGCCTTCTCAAAAGCCTCTAAGCCTTCGGAAGCCGTCTTGAGGGTCCTGCTGGGCTGTCTTGTGGCCCTCTGCGGCGCTTTTAAGACGTTCGGAAGCCTTCCTAGGGGTCCTTCGGGCGCTTTAGGGACGCATTGGAGATGCGTGGGGCCCTCTTGGTGCCATCTTGGGGCATGTTGGGCTGTCTCGGGACCCGTCTTGGGGCCCTCTTAGGGGCCTCTTTGAGGCGTCTTGGAGGCCGTCTTGGGCAGTCGGAAGCAGAACAAAGCGAGAGTACGCCCTCTAGGTCTGTCTTGGAGGTCATCTCGGACCATCCTGGGCAACATCACCATCTTGTGAGGGTGTCTCAGGCGGAACGCTTGTTTGGGGCTGACGGGATGTGGGTCGCCCGCGTCTTCTTGGGGTGGCCCGCGGGCCAAGACGAAAGCCCTTGGGATCCTTTAGAGCGAGCCTCTCCATTGACAAAGGAACACGTCGCAAGCGATTTCTCGCCCTCAATCCCCGAGTTCCCGTGGCCACTTGCGCCCGTCACACCCAGTACAGCGCTTCGTGGCCCCATAAGGAGCTCCACAGAAAGACCCCAGTGGCACCGCCCGCATGCGTCGTCCACCACCCAGTACTGTACTTCGCGGCCCCATTGATTGGGAGCTCCACCAAGCCCGAGTGGCACCTCCCGCATGCGCCCCCCCCAACCCGGTACAGCGTTTCGTGGCCCCGTAGGGGGCTCTAGTGGCCAACGAAGGCCCCAGTGGCAACGCCCGCATGCGTCCCCCGCTCCCGTGGCCCCATAAGGAGCTCCACCGAAGGTCCCAGTGCAGCGTTCCGTGGCCCCGTAGGGAGCTCCACAGAAAGACGTCAGCGACACCGCCCGCATGCGCTGCCCCCAACAAATACAGCGTTTCGAGGTCTCATCGGGAGTTCCAGTGAGGGGGCACCGCCCGCATGCGTCAGCCACACCCAGGATAGCGTGTCGTGGCACATAGGGAACCCCACCGAAGGCCCCAGTGGCACCGCCCGCATGCTTCTCCCCCACCCATTACGGCACATCCCTCACGCGCTTCGTGGCCCCATAGGGAATTCCACCCAAAGCGGCACCCACAACGCGTTACTCCCAACTGCATATAGTTGGCCTTTCTGCCAAGATATTTGGTATTTTCCCCAGCTCTCCTGTTTTGGGTTCTCGTTTTGAATAGAGCAATGTGGTCTCCACCACTTCCTCTCCTCTTCCCCTCTCCTTCCCTCTTCCTTCTTTCATGATTCCTCTGTTCCCCTCTGCTCTTCTCTCGTGCCGTCGGGCTGCGATCTGCGCAACGGTCGCCATTGTCGTAGGCTCCTGGGAAGCCCAGTGGAGGTACGTCATACGCGGATCACCACGGGACCTCGCCGCCCCTGGGGGGCTGCGATCTGCGCAATTGTCGCCACGTTCGTTTGTTCCCGGGAGGCCCACTGGAGGTGCGTCATACGCGGATCACCACGGGCTTTCGCCGCCCCTGTGGGGTTTGCGATCTGCGCACTTGTCGCCGTGCCATTGTCGTCGGCTCCTGGGAGGCCCAGCAGAGGCACGTCATCCGCGGATTACCACGGGAACCTCGCCGCCCCTGGGGGGCTGCGATCTGCGCACCTGTCGCCACGTTCGTGGGTTCCTGGGAGGCCCAGCGGAGGTACGTCATACGCGGATCACCACGGGACCTCGCTGCCCTCGGGGGGGTAATCTTCGCAGCTGTCGCCATTTTCGTAGGCTCCTGGGAGGCCCAGCGGAGGTACGTCACACGCGGATTACCACGGAACCTCGCCGCCCCTGGGGGGCTGCGATCTGCGCAATTGTCGCCACGTTCGTTTGTTCCCGGGAGGCCCACTGGAGGTGCGTCATACGCGGATCACCACGGGACTTCGCCGCCCCTGAGGGGTTTGCGATCTGCGCACTTGTCGCCGGGCCATTGTCGTCGGCTCCTGGGAGGCCCAGCAAAGGTACGTCATACGCGGATTACCACAGGACTTCGCCGCCCCTTCGGGGCTGCGATCTGCGCAATTGTCGCCACGTTCGTGGGTTCTTGGGAGGCCCAGTGGAGGTACGTCATACGCGGATTACCACGGGACCTCGCGACCGTGGGGGGCTGCGATCTGCGCAACCGTCGCCGTTTGCGTGGGTTCCTCGGAGGCCCAGCGGAGGTACGTCATACGCGGATTACCACGGGACCTCGCCGCCCCCTGGGTCGTTACGATTTGCGCAACTGTCGCCACTGTCGTGGGCTCCTGGGGGGCCCAGCGGAGGTACGTCGTGCGCGGATCACAACGGGACCTCGCCGCCCCAGGGGGGGCTGCGATGTGCGGAACCGTCGCCATTTGCGTAGGCTCTTGGGGGGCCCAGCGGAGATACGGCATACGCGGATCACCACGAGACCTCGCCGCCCCTAGGGGGGCTGCGATGTGCGCACCTGTCGCCATTTGCGTAGGCTCCTGGGGGGCCCAGCGGACATACGTCATACGCGGATCACCACGGGACCTCGCCGCCCCCGGGGGGCTACGATTTGCGCAATTGTCGCCATTGTCGTGGGCTCCTTGGAGGCCCACTGGAGGTACGTCATACGCGGATCATCACGGGACCTCGCCGCCCCTGGGGGGCTGCGATCTGCGCAATTGTCGCCATTTTTGTGGGCTGCCGGGAGGCCCAGCGGGGGTACGTCATACACGGATCACCACGGGACCTCGCCGCCCCTGGGGGGCTGCGATCTGCGCAATTGTCGCCACTTTCGTGGGCTCCCAGGAGGCCCAGCGGAGGTACGTCATACGCGGATCACCACGGGACTTCGCCGCCCCTGGGGGGCTGCGATCTGCACAATTGTCGCCACGTTCGTTTGTTCCCGGGAGGCCCACTGGAGGCACGTCATACGCGGATCACCACGGGCTTTCGCCGCCCCTGGGGGTTTTGCGATCTGCGCACTTGTCGCCGGGCCATTGTCGTCGGCTCCTGGGAGGCCCAGCAGAGGTACGTCATACGCGGATTACCACGGGGACTTCGCCGCCCCTGGGGGGCTGCGATCTGCGCACATGTCGCCACGTTCGTGGGTTCTTGGGAGACCCAGTGGAGGTACGTCATACGCGGATTACCACGGGACCTCGCGACCGTGGGGGGCTGCGATCTGCGCAACCGTCGCCGTTTGCGTGGGTTCCTCGGAGGCCCAGCGGAGGTACGTCATACGCGGATTACCACGGGACCTCGCCGCCCCCTGGGTCGTTACGACTTGCGCAACTGTCGCCACTGTCGTGGGCTCCTGGGGGGCCCAGCGGAGGTACGTCGTACACGGATCACAACGGGACCTCGCCGCCCCAGGGGGGGCTGCGATGTGCGCAACTGTCGCCATTTGCGTAGGCTCTTGGGGGGCCCAGCGGAGATACGGCATACGCGGATCACCACGAGACCTCGTCGCTCCTAGGGGGGCTGCGATGTGCGCACCTGTCGCCATTTGCGTAGGCTCCGGGGGGGCCCAGCGGGCATACGTCATACGCGGATCACCACGGGACCTCGCCGCCCCCGGGGGGCCACGATTTGCGCAATTGTCGCCATCGTCGTGGGCTCCTTGGAGGCCCACTGGAGGTACGTCATACGCGGATCATCACGGGACCTCGCCGCCCCTGGGGGGCTGCGATCTGCGCAATTGTCGCCACTTTCGTGGGCTCCCGGGAGGCCCAGCGGGGGTACGTCATACACGGATCACCACGGGACCTCGCCGCCCCTGGGGGGCTGCGATCTGCGCAATTGTCGCCATTTTCGTGGGCTTCCAGGAGGCCCAGCGGAGG